CATAAAAATTAAGGAAAATAGAAAATCATGACGTGTTATCATTAAAAATATTTGAATGTTTAATAATAGTTATATAATAAATTTGATAAAAAATTATTTAATAGTTGTAGTTGAATGTTTTAATTTTTTAATAATAAGATGTTTTGATTTTTTCTTTTCTCATTTTAGTAATTTAGAAAATTTTAAATAAGAAGATAAATTTTCAAACAACATATTCTAAATTTTTGAATTTAGATGATAAGTTATATATATTAATAATTTAACTTTGAACTTATAATTAAAAATATAAAAAATTTGACCATCAAATCACATGGTTGGTAATGATAAAGGAGTATAATTACACCTAAGACCTAAGTCTAAAGTTTAATGATTCAAAGTCAAGTGGCATTCAGTAAATAAAAGCAATGATAATGTCAATTTTTTGAACTCTCATATGCTTCAACTACTGCTATAAAAGTAGCCTTAGGAAATTGCATTGTTTCATATACAAACAACAGCCATGGCCAACTCCTTCAATGTTCTCCTGGTCATTTCCCTCTTCCTCGCCGCTCTGATCATCTCCTCCTCCACTGTCGAAGCAGGCGGCGACAACCTCCTTAACTGGGTCCCGACCACAAATCACTGCCATGACCCAATTGCGGAGTGCTTGGGCAACGACGAAGAATTCTTGATGGGCTCCGAGATCAGCCGGCGGATACTGCAGACAGCAACAAACTACATAAGTTACGGAGCTCTGCGGAGCAACACCGTACCATGCTCTCAGAGAGGCGCGTCCTACTACAACTGCCAGCCGGGTGCTCAAGCTAATCCTTACACCCGAGGTTGCAGTGCCATTACCCAGTGCCGTAATTAAGGTTGCTCTGTTCTGTCCTGCCCCAGGAATGGCAAATCTACTCTGTTATGCTGAAGAATTTTTCATGCTTATTCTTATATACATATATATGTGACTAGTGATCTCTCTCTCTCTCTCTCTGTGTATGTGTTTTAATTTCAGTTTTAGTTTGATATTTTCAATAAAAAGATTTTATATTTGAATAACCAATGTAGCTAAAAAAAATAGAGAAGAAAATTTCAGTTTGTAGCAGCTATTCCAGGTATAACACCAGGAAAATGGTCAATGGTCAGAAACCAGCACAGACAAATGTGGAATTAAAATTATCAACGTACATGAACATGATATATTTAACTTTCAATGGATGAAAACCAGGAACAGATCATGAGCAAGTAACTGATCACCTCATATTTGTCCATTCAATCTATAAATTGTCATAGCCCCCTAAACTGGCATCTCAATAACAGGTATTGAAAGCATAAACTTGTTCATCTCCAGTAAAGAACAAGAAGTTTCATCTACATGATTCATTAATCAAATGGGGAAAGAAAAGAAACATGCATGATATCATAAGTTAACTACAATCATCATCCACTCCTAAAAGTGCTCTTTGGCTGAGCCTTCATCTTCCTTTCCTTCAGCCTGGCTTTGATTTGATGGGGTCAAAGGATACAGAGAGACATCCATTCCCATGCCTGCTTTTAGGATTTTGGTCATTGATGCTGTGCTCCAGTCCCGTCTACATGGGTTCCCATCTCATCAAATGCATTTAAGTCAAGGAAACAAGAGGTGTCCGACATTGTAAATCATTTAGTGCTAAAAGACTAATTATAATTCCCTGAAATCAGGCTATAATACATAAGCTCCAAAATTCTTAAATTAGGTAACCAAACATATGATTATATATACATTCTAAATTGACTTTCCCACAAAATGTCCTTATGTAGTCAAAGTGTTAGATTAAAGAGAATTCACACCAAGTATGAAAGCTCACCGGCGTCAACCAATTACATATGCTCGGCTCATTTGCTAGAAATAACAAACGGTTGGTGCTAGAACAATAAACAAGCTTTGCTATCAAACAAAACTTTGGAGAACCGACATTTTAAAGCAACAATCTTCAACAATATTTGTAAAAAAAAAAGAAGAAAAAGCATGTTGCATGGCGAAATAAGCTAAAAAGCATGTTGCATGGCGAAATAAGCTCCAACAATCATCTCACCATTTGTTGAAAAAGGTTTTGAACCTGATTTTATCACCGAAGACAAGCGAAAAACATATGAACAATCATAGCAGCCCACCAGGTGCAATCATTTTAGACAATTCCCACTATTAATCTCTTAATTAAACTGCTAAACAGAATTAATAATGCCTAAATTGGACAGTTAAAGGAATTATTCATGTTGAGAAACTCATGAAGGCATCATTTCAGCAATGCCATGCCCATACTGCTAAAACTTCCCTTAGATTTGTTTTTTCTACAGAAGTTGAATATTTGTAAAGAAATTAAATAAATTAAGGCATCTAAGAAACCAATAAGGGGTATTGCTTCATGCAAACTTTTACTTCTAGGATGTAAATTTTGAACAATGAATTTCTAGTAATAAAACTAAAAATTCTTATAAAATAAAGTAAATTAGAAAGTAAAGAAATTGATTCTCCTGAATGGGGAAAGCACCAACATGTAATTGGGAACAAATTTCATAAAGCTAAAACAATGAGCAATCCAGAATTAAAGAGAAGGAAAAGTGATGGAAGAGACGAGGAACCTTCAGCGGCAAAAAAGTAACATCACGAGGCTCCGAGAGGGGGAGCGGCGGAGGGAAGACGGCGAGAAGGAGAGGAATGAAGACGAGCGGCGATTGAATCGAATTCAGATTGAAAACTATTATATAAGGACATCGTGTTCCCCTCAGCTGTTTTCGTTTTCCACATGTTTCTCGCCGCTTCAAGCCTTCGCTTTCTTTTCTCTTTGCACCTCTCCCCGCAGCCCTCCGCCGTTCTCCGTTCCCTCCGCTGGTCTGAAGTAAGAGGCACCTTTTATATTAAAAATATATATTATGAGGATAGTAATACATATAGTTAGGGTTTGGATTTTTGGGCTAAATTTAACATAAGATTCAAGATTTTTAAGGAGTAGCATATATAAAAAGTATAGTTGGTTTTATAAATTTATTTAAATATTTTTAATAAATTTGTTTTTTATTATTCTATTAAAAATATTTAAATAAATTCATAAAATAACTATAATTCTGATGTACAATTTATTTTTTAAAATATTTTTTAATTTAACATTTGGTCTATTAACTATTGACTTGAAGGTATATATTTTGACTTTTTAAAAACAATTATAAGATATTAATTTTAATTAAATGAGTTAAATATTTTAAATTATAAATAACCACATTTATTAATCATTAAATATCAACTCTCAACTATATTACAAAAACTAATCTAAACAAACCCCCAATATCACTTTAGGTACTTTAATTTCTCCTAAATTGGTCTGATATCTTTAGAAATGGAAGAAGCTACACACACAACTCTTATTAGTTATTACGCAATATTGTGCACAATATAATGTGGCCATTGACGTAGCACATATAATGTAACTTTTTTTAGTTAGGAGTTCATTCTGTTTATAGTTGCTTATCCAAGTATAATAACAACAACAAAATGTTCAATAGTCACAAAATGCCAGCAAAACACCATAAACATGAACGAAATCTAGAAACAAACCACAAGGCCATGACTTATCAACTCATATTTGTGAATTCAACCTATGATATGTCATAACTTCCTAAACAGGCATCTCAATAACAGGTATTGAAAGTATAAAATTGTTCGTCTCCAGTAGAGAGAACAAGAAAGTTCAAATAGATGGTACATCAACCAAATGGGAAAAGAAAAGACACGCACGATATCATAAGTTTTGATTTTTCAAGACAGCAATCATCATCTACTCCTAAAAATGCTCTTTGGCTGGGCTTTATGCTGAGCCTTCTTCTTGATTTGCTTCAGTTGGGCTTTGTTTTGATGGGGCTAAAGGAGATGGAGAGCCATCCATTCCCATCTCTGCTTTTAGGTCATTGATGCTCTGCTCTAGCTCATTTATGCGGGTTCCCATGTCATCAAGTGCATTGAAGTTAAGGAAACAAGATGAAACAGATTGAAATTGTAAATCTTTCAGTGCTGAAAGATGTAATTACATCACACTGAAAATCAGGCTATCATACAGCAAACATAAAGTTCCAAAATTCTAAAATTCAGTAACTAAACAAATGATGAGAAATATATTCTAAATTATTTTCCCACTGAAAGTCCTTATGGGGCAGAAGCAATTGATAAAAAGATAATTCACATGAAGTATGAAAGCCTACCAGCATCAATCAATTACATCTTCAGTTCATTTGCTAGAAATAACAGAGTTGGTGCTAGAACAATAAATAAGCCTTGCTATCAAACAAACTATGGGAGAACATTTTAACCACTGTTATCTTTAACCATATTTGTATCTTAAAAAAAAAAGGCATGTTGTGAAGAAATTAAAGATCAATGGCTAAGAAAAAGTTACAGCTCATAGGTAAAGGATATTCTTTGTGATAATGGACTCAGACATTGTTTGAAACCTGGATTGCTGTAAATAAAAATCTTTGTCAGCAACAGCAAATAATTCTTAGAAAATAAGCTTCAATAAGTGACTCACCATTTGTTGAAGAAGGTTTTGCACCTGCAAAAATCAACAGAAAGAAGGTTATTACCAAGAACAAGTGAGAAAAACATATGAACAACAATCACAGCAGTCCACTGGAAGCAATCATTTCAGACTATTCCCACTATAAATTCTTAATCTAACTACTAATCCAAATCAATAGTGCCTATTTGGACAAGGATCACAATCTTGGGTTAAAGGAATTATTCGTGTCCCGAAAATGTTGAGAAACTCACAAAGGCTGTCATGTCAGCAGTGCCTTGCTTGGAATCATCTGAGCCTTGCCCATCCTGCCAAAAGAATATAACACTCAGATCATACCACCTCACATATGAATCAAAAAGAAAATTATACTAGGAAAACTGGGATATGAAAATACCAAACAATTAGCGATTTTTCAAATTGTTTGAAGACTATTATTTGATTCATCATATCTTCAAGTAAGTTAAACCCTACCCCTACATGTTTCTTTGTTCTATCCTCAACGTGGGATTGTTTCCCTCAACAGAAAAGCAATGAACTATAATGCATAATTAACCCACATTCAAAATAAGAAATTTCCAAACCACCTGATAAACCCTAGAAAAAAAAAAAAAAATCTCAAGGTTTGGCTGCAGCCACAATAAAAAGCCAAAATTAGAACCCTAATGCAAACATTACAACAATGAATCTACTACAGATCTCTCTCCCATAGCTAACAAACAACTTGAATCAGAAAACAGGAAAAAGAAAAGAGGAAATTGAGATCAACCAAACTGCTTTGCATTTTTGAAGCCCTAACGATTCGCGATTAAGAATAGAAATTGAGATCGTGCATCCATCGGCAATGAAGAATGAAGCGAAGGAAACAAGGCATGGAATGGAAATAGCGGAAATGGAAAGCTTACCATTGCTTGGGTCAGATCTCCGGTTTCTCTGAGCTTCGCTTAGTGACTGAAGAAATTTTAAATGTTTAAACTTCTGTAGTGTCTAGCGAGAGAGATGATGATGGCTAGCGCTACGGAATTGACTGAAATTCCTTTCCACTCCATGGGTTCCACATAGAATTACCAGGATGCCACTCATATTTCTAAAATGGAATTGCGGAAAATCAATCCTTAATGGTAATTACTGCCATTATAAATTATAATAATGAGTTTAACTACCTAAATAATTTTAGTGGTAATGTAAAAGTTATGGTTGGAATAAGTTAAAAAATAAAAAGAAATTATTTTTTATTATGTAATTAAAAATTAAATAAAAAAACACGTCAACAGGTCCTCTTTTCTTTTTTATCATCTAAAATAATTAAAAATATGATTTTTGCCTAGATTACATAAAGTTTGAGAAATAAATTGTATAATGTATACTTGAACTTTAGGAAAAAAATATTTTTATGGGATTGAGAAAAATTAAGATATTTTGGAAATTAAAATATAAGAAATGATAATAAAAAGTGAAAAATACTTTTAATAAATCGAAATACAACAAAATTTATTAAAAATATTTAAACAATTTCATTAAAATTTTTGATATTTAAAGTATCAAAATATTTTAATATTTATGTTTTAAAAAAAAATTAGTAATTGAAAAAAAAAATGTAAGGGACCCAATGGCATTTTTGTCATTGTACATTTTAGCCTGTACTAACCCAGTTCAAGCGCCATTTATGTTCAAGATTTTCAAATTTTAAATCTGGAAAGCTGGGGAGCTACACCAAATTTCAATGTGGTCCAGGAATAATTTGATAGGCTCTTTAAACTCTCTATTTATTTAATCAGATGAGAAATTCAAATTGAAGCTTCTTCTTCTTCTTCGTCTTCTTTTCTGGGTATTCCAGGCCTAGGGTGCATTAGGCGCAACTCCCAAGTACTTCAGTTTGTTTTTACTATTCATATTTTATAAGTTTAAATTTTTTTTTTAAAAATTTATATTTTTAAAATTTTTTAATCTTAAAAAAACATTAAACAGTAAAAAAACAAAAGTTTCGAATTCAAACTTTTTATAAACAAACTTTTTATAAACTTATTTTTTACTCAATTTTTTTTTATCTCTAAAACTAACTTTTAAATTTTTCTTTCAATAAAAATTTAAATTTACCACCTATAAACAAAAACTCCAACAAACTGCACCAAACAATCTTCCAATAAAAATTTAAATTTATCATTTATAAACAAAAACTCCAACAAATTACACCAAACAAGACCTTAAACACGGGTATCGTTGGAGGAAGGTGGCCATCTCACCTGCTCCAACTATAGTGGTGGCTGTTGGTGGTATTGATACAGATAAGATTCGGTAACTAAGAAGATTCAAAAGTAAATTACAAAATTTCTAATACAATCATCACAACAATGCCAAGGTCAACAGCGACGCTTCCTATCATTTTCAGTCTCTGTTAAATTCAATATGCGTGTTTGACAATGTAAATTAACTGGACTCAGATGATGATAAAAGCTCATTTGCTTTTTCTTGTTGACGATTTGGTGCTAAGATTAGGGTATTCAGGTGAAGCTGACCAAAGACCAAGAAGTATGACTAAGTGGAGGCAAAGCAGCAGAGCAGAAGAGTAGAAATTTGATGGATAAACGTTCCAGCACAGCTCGACTCCTATGAACAAAACCACACTGCGCCAACACAACATATTAATGAAAAATTGTTTCAGGGGAGGGGATAGATTAATGAAAATTTGTGGGAGAACAGTAGGAAGATTACCGTAGCAATGTAGGGAAAGGTGTTCTCCACAAGAGGTAAGGCAAACTGTAGAAGTACCTATATACATATCCAGAGACAGTAAATAAGCTTCACATCCAGATTATCATTATTTACACTGTAAATTGGCATGATGATCTATAAAAAGGTAATGAAACAAGTTTTTGAAATTGTTTAACCAAACTGACCCCATTAAGTATATAAAAGTAGTTCTGGATCAGCAGCACTTACCAAGAGTAGAACTGATAATGCAATGACCGGGCACATAAAATGCCAATAAAGTTGCCAACAAACATGGTCGTCACAATATCTGAATTGAGTGGATAGGATTTAGTATCACAAGAAATAAGGAATGCAAGGAGAGAGAGTTATTTACAATAGAAGAATTGTGCACACCATGCTAAATTTCAGCTGGGGGGATCACAACTTACGTTCTTTCGTAAGGATGGGTAAGGATGAAGAATTAGAAGTTGAGAAAGTGGATCTAATCCGAGCAGGCAAAAATTTGAGAAGCCCTCCTTCATGCCTGTAAATTACCAGACAACTATTGTCAATGACATTCAGCTATTTACCCTTACATCCCATGGGGATGAATAGAAAAGTGTTTCTAAGTAAGTTCACAAAACTATTATACTATCTAATTCATGGTCATTTTAAGACTTCTCATTTTAAGTTTTAATTCATGACATTAACATATTTACTTACTTGCACCACCTATAATGAGCGAATACTCCAAGTAACACAAGATGAGCAATCAGCAAAGAGACTGCAAATTCCTTTGATACAAAAACTGGTTCAGGAATGAATTTGAAGTTGACAGACCTGGCCCCAAAAATATAAAAACAAAAATTCAGTTATATATCCAAAATGACCCACTCTAATCAAACTCATTGTCAAGTTAAAATAATGAAGCTGTATGCTTACGAAAACCACCCAAAGCTCAAAAAGTTAAGTTTACAATACAAAAACATTGCTCATCCATGTTGAAACAATGCATGAACTCATCGTAAATTCTATTCAGAATAATACCATCATTGACCTTTTATTGATTAAACATAACTCCAATAAGCACATTGCAAAAATAATAATAATAATAATAATAATAATAAATCACAAATTCATGCTCTCTGCAGTCAAGTTTTCTGCACTATTAGATTCAAGCTGAAATTACCAGAAATGGATGAAGACACGTCCAAGATTAAAGGCTCTTGATATATATGCAATTGGATGTGATACCAAAAATGGCAGCCCCAAGAGAATCTGCAGAGCCATTCACCAAATATGCAGAAATGAATGAACAGTTTGAAATGCTACTCCCCCTGCCAAACATCATTTGCAGAGGTACAACTCACCTAACCACATTGAAAAGGAATTAAAATGAATAGATATCTACTTCCCCTATTAGGGACAATTGCAATTAGAATTAACCAATTAAATTTTCAATAAGGTATTTTTATGTCCATACAGATGATTAAATTTCATAGAAGCAACAAGGAATAAATAAGCACCTGCACTAGTGCTGCACCAGCTAAAGCAGATATTACCCCACCGACATTCATAGCCTGTAGAAGTCTTGCACAATAAGCACCAATTGCTTAAGTAGGGTTATAAGTGATCCAAGTCCTAATCACACTAAATCTAGTCAAAGAGAAGATAATGTACCTTTAGCATGAGAAGAAAAAGAGGTGGAGCATAGAGAAGGACATTCATCTTTATTGAAACAGCTGCACTATAGAAAATAGATGGAAGAGTCAAAAACAATTTCAAAAGGCAAAAGCACTCGGGAAGCAGGCCTATTACCTGAATATAATCAACCCCAGGTGCCACCTCTGATGAAGTAGTAATGCCAATGCAGCATGCAGAAATGTCATTGCAAAACAGTCATTAAACAGACGAAGAACAAAGATTGAGTGCATCCTTTTTGAAAGACACAGCAAGCTAAGAGCCCACCATGGAAGCTGCAAGTCATTTTAGACATAAATGATAATCAATAATTGTTGAGAAAAATACATGAGAATGTATAAAAGCGAATTTGTATGCACAAGCACAAATGAGTCTCTGTTAGACAATGTTTGAATACAAGCTTTGGATAACTGGCACACACTAACATTAAGTCAATTATCACCACTCTACAGTATTTACTTGCACAAATATTTGACTCCACTTGGTTGCCTTTATTTGGTCCATGTAATTGAATTTATTACATGAATTTCATACATGAACCACGCCACCTCACCATGGCAAAAACATGAAGTAAACAAAGAAAGCACTTAAATCCGATGCAACACAAGAAGGTATTTCACTTACCACATCAGTCTCCACATAGATATACAAGATAATTCCCAAGCTTATGATGTATAAAATGCCAAACAAAACCTGAAAAGACAACATACAGCACGGAAAGATAAAAGTTAATAGTTTGATATCACCAAGCATCCAAGAAAAACATCCACTTTCTTACATTAACCACACAAACAAATGTACCCAATTTCCAGAATGTAAGAAAGATAAAGCAGAATCATAGCAAAATCAAATAACCTGAGCTGGATAGACCTCCCCTCCAGTAACAGACTGAATAGCAGAATAAACATAAAGGAAACCAGCCGGGTACACCAGAGGCCCCGTGTCTCCTTTCAAGTTCGTATAGTCCCTTTCTCCTCCGAGAAACCCAGTTACCTACATAAAATCCAATTAACCCATCTATGTAAACAAAAAAACTAAACCAATTGATGAAGCAAAAGAACCCACCTGAGACATATAAGCATCCCAATCTATCTTTGTATCTGAAATTAAAGAAAAACACCATGAAAATGGGTTCTTCTAGAGAAGTAAAAGAATTAGAGAGTTGGGTTGATCTTACAAGGAACAAAGGCAATGATAAGAGCGACGAGGACGGCATCCGCAAAAAGCAAAGCGAAAGCTGTTGCTACTTTCGGACTTCTGAGGAGCTTCGGAATCGAAGAAGGCTCCCCTTCGTGCCGCCGCGGGCGGCGTTTCAGATGGATGGAAGCTGATTTCTCCGCCATAGCTTTGCTCTTGCTGGTTGAATCGTCTCAGTTTCCGATAGCAACCAGTCTTCAACCTTTGGTGGATCAGACCGCAATTCAGATCGGGTCGCAGTTCGTCCAAGTCCAACCACCCCGATCCGAACTTCATTAATGGACCAAAGCCCAATCTACTAACTGCTGAAAAAGCCCAAAAAGGTTGCACAAAAGGTCAGGCCCAGAACATGGCAAATTTTTCCAACATGATCAAACAAAAGACTGATTCTGAGACTTGTCAAACCATTTTATCCACATCTAAGAGAAAAAAAATAATTAGTACATAATTAATTTGAAAAAGAATCCGCTATTTTACATTCTGTAAAATATAAATTTTTACTTGAGAAAGAGTCTTTAATATTATGGAAGCATGTTATTTAAGAGTCAATATTTCATAATTTAGGATCTAAAATAAATTTTTATTTGGAAAAACTACAGACACAATATTTTTTTTTAAACATTGAGGTAGGACTCAAACCCTACACTTCTAAGTCAAGCATGAGAAGTCATTTTAGAAGGATAAAGTGGCTACTAAACTATAAGAATGTTCTCAACTACATGCACAATATTTACTGTACAATATCATGCATAACATTATGCAATTGACATATATAATTTGAAAATGATACAATTATAATATTACATGGCATTATAAATTTATAATTATAATATGTTATTATATAATTATTTTTTTATTTAAAAATACATTTATAATATTTCATGCATTTACTTATTTAATAATTTATTACAAACTTGGGATCTCAGGGGTACAATAACTATATCATTGTCATATATAATTATCTCTTTTAATTTAAGAATTCATTTATAATATTATATTTTTTTTACATATTTAATTGACTCAAGCTACACCAATGACATTGTCATTTTGTTTTTATTTTTCTTTGTTTTAAAAGTTAGAGTGTTCCTAAATCAATTTTTATGGACTTTAAAATTAATTTTTTTCTTAAATAATCTTTAAAATGCAATATTTAACTTTAAAAAATTGAAGGAAAATGGAGAAAATAACACTTTTTCCTTTTCCTTCCCCTTTCTCATTTAGATAAATTAAAGAATTACCATAAATAATAAAATAAAAGACTTCACTCTCCTCCCTCCTTCTCCAACATTTTTACTAAAAAAAAATAACTTTCAGCCCTCCCTCCCCTCTTCTTCCTTTCAACCAAACATATTTTTAGTGTTGTGCATGCAGCATTACCGTAATTAGAAGTGATTAGTCCCACAAAATTTGTCCAGTGAGAAAAGACTAGAACCTGAACCTTTGGTCTGCCTCTGTTTTACGTCTATGTGTACATTTTTTTTTTTTTGATTTCCTATCCGATATCCAAGGTTTCGCCTCAATTAATCTGAACCTGACCTGCGTCGTGCACCTGAAAATGATAGGTGAGTCTATCAGCGGGGTTGTTGCGTACATAAGTCCTCAAACTCGAGACTTTGCTTAAACTGGAACAAGTTGCTTACCACTTGATCCATCCCTTCGTTGGTATCTATGTGAACATTTTTATCTCCACTCCTTGCCACCTCCGCCATCCACGTATCAACTCAATTCCCAAACAGCCTTCGCACGAAATTTACGTTTTCCGTCTATTTAAGCCCTCCTGAAATTCCTCTTTGATCATTCCCTCTTCTTTCCCTCCAGCATCTTTCCGATGGATGCCCAGAACCTGAAGCAACGGATCAGAGATGACCCCGGCGACGCCGCCGCATCAAAACAGAGCAATGGACCCAGGCGGGACAAGAGAATGGCAATGGCCAAACGGGGACTTAGATCGCTAGCAGTCGCTGTAGCCATACCTCTCTCCCTCACCCTCCTCAACATCTACCTTTCAGGCTCGAACCGTCATGGCTACGGCACCCTAAACAAACCCTTCTGGTTCCCGCCGCTATGGCTTCTCCACGCGACGTGCGTGGCTTCGAGCTTCTTGACGGGCCTATCGGCGTGGCTGGTGTGGGCGGAAGGCGGGTTCCACAAGAACCCAAAGGCGCTGTCTCTTTATTTGGCCCAGCTAGGATTGGGGCTGGCTTGGGAAATGGTTGTGTTTCGGATTGGGGCTAGTTGGGCCGGGCTGGTAGTGTGCCTGGCAACTTTTGGGTCTCTGGCGAGCTGTTCCAAGGTGTTCCGGAAGACGAATCCGATCGCCGGCGATCTGTTTAAGCCTTGCTTGGCTTGGGCTGCATTCTTGGCCGTAGTTAATCTTAAACTCGTTTTCCTTTGAAGTATGGCATTTTTTTGGTGGTATCTTGGTGGGAATACTATCTTGGATCAACAACTTTAAGCCCATTTTCTTAATTTAATTTAAGACAATTTTATTATTGTAAATGTTTATACATGTGTAATTTTTTTAAAAAAACAGGATAAATGTGGGGGGATTTTTTAGGAGAATGAGGATGACTCAAACACAAGTCTAGTAAAAACTTTTATGTAGGGAGTTATTACGTACTCTATTCAAAAGTTCTTTTATATATGTAATTTATAAAAAGTTATTATTTTGTAATTTAAATTACTTGAATTACATATTTTATAATATTAATAAAAGAAACGATCACCAAATACCAAGGGGTTAACTCTATTAATTAATAACTATAAAATATACAATTTATACAAAAAAAAAAAATTCATATCACTTTTCTGAATTTATAATGTATCTTTTCCCTCATGGTGAAGGTGGAGGTTGGATGAATTTCATGTAAATATATATTTGTAGATTTAAATATGGAAAACATTCAGGGACTAATGAACAATATTTTTATGATTCTTGATTAACAATTAGTTTGTAATTGTTGAACGATTGATTGATGCTGATTTTTTTATTATATGTAAAGCTGGTGCACACAATGTTACCTTATAATAGAACCACGTTACTAAATAAGATTGTTAGAATGAACATTTTGAATGAATCATTTTCTTTTAATAAAAATGTAAAAGGCATGTCGGATGGCCTGAAAAATAATATTTGATGCCACCAATTATTGTCGGACTAACATAAAATTACAAACCATTGTGATGATAACTTGGTCAAAAGAAAAAAAAAATGCAAAGTAATGGAATAAAAAATTTCCAGAAAAGTGACAAAAAAGAGGCAGAAGAACTTAAGCAGGAACATAGGAATATTTAACCCAGAATATCCAGATTCTGACGAGCCCTCCCCCATAATAATAGTAATAGATTAACATAAAAGTCTTTTTCAATCCCAATAACAAAAGTATTTAAACAGATCTAATGACTCTTATTCATTAAATGTATTTTAGAACTTTCAAATTTCAATGCTATATGAACTGCATTATTAGGTTAAAAAAAAAA